TTTGCTAAATACGTATATACATCCACATGCGTATATTTATACTTGCAGATGTGTATTACGATTGGGTTGTAGGTTAGGTGCTACAGTTTTCGCTGAGGAAAAATGAAATCGGCTTCTTCGGAATAATGATTTTCTCGATGTTAATAATTACCAAATGCCTTTTGTAAATGCGATTTGTATTTCTGTAAAGTTTCCTTTCCGTTAGAAATTGTTTTTTTACTTCAAAATTATTAAGTTTACTTATACAGAGAGAGTCATAATTGCTTGGAAAGTTAGATTTCTATTTAAGATCTCATGATTTATGATATGAGATCATAGATTTTAATTTATTGCACTTGCATGTTGATTGTTAAATGTATTGTGTATAGCTAGCTATACACTTTACATGGTTTTGGTGCTTTGAAGCTATTTTTCTGATATAATGTAATATCCAAACAAGTTAATAGATTCGAGGGAATAGATCTGATAATTTCTATGAAAAAATGCAATGTTTAGGAAGTATTGGAGGCTCATGATGGAGCAAGCAAAGGCAAGTATACAATTGGTCTAGGACAAGATTGCATGGGATTTTGCACTGAGGTTGAAGATGTCATATCAATGAGGTATGCAACTAACTTCAGTAGCTGCAGCAACTCCGTATCAATTTCAAACTAGTGAGGCTAAGAATGTGAATCCTCATTGCTCCGGTTCATATGGCTCGATTTCGTTTCAGTACTTCATAATACTGGGGATTAATTTCGTTAGAAACTGTTGTGTCTCTTCTCATTGAATTTTTCATCATCAGTTTGACAGCTGTTAATTCCCTACTGGAGAAGTATTCTGTTGATCCGAAGCAAATTGGTCGGCTAGAGGTTGGAAGTGAAACTGTTATTGATAAGAGCAAATCCATCAAGACATTCTTAATGCAAATATTTGAGGTATTGGCTGTTGCTTCTAAGAATGCTGATTAGTAAACAGTCAATTATGGTGCTTTCAAACATGTGGACAAGTGAGACTTAACTACTAACTTTTGCATTATGTACTGCTGATTAGCTCAAAAATAGAATATTAGTTGCAGTCAAGTATTATAAATTATTAAAGACATGGCTTTTTTGCTGATGCTGTTTGTTACCCATCTATATTGTCATATAGGTGAAAACAAGTATAATGATAATGTATTATTCAGTTAGTTACTTGTTATATTACAAAGTAACTCCTCCAAAATGAGCTTAATATTTGCTTTGACATTTAACCTCGGAAAATAAAATGTTTGTTGCATCAATTTTCCCGTTTGTCTTTCTTGATTTTCCTCTTCACTGCTAAAGCTTTACTTTGTGGTTATCACTTGTGTTTATCATCAAAATTTATTCTTGTGCTTTACCATGTGAAACAAGCAGAAACATGGAAATACTGACATTGAAGGAGTTGACTCAACTAATGCCTGCTATGGGGGAACTGCTGCATTGTTCAACTGTGTAAATTGGGTGGAGAGTGCTTCATGGGATGGACGCTATGGTCTTGTAGTATGCACGGATAGTGCGGTATGGTCATTATTTTCATGCATTCTACAACTTTATTTTTATTCTATTGCTTTCTTATTAGATACATAGACTGCAATGCCTGAGCCTTGCATGATTTTGTCCATTTATTTGAGAACTTCTGTTCACAGGTCTATGCAGAGGGGCCTGCTCGGCCTACTGGAGGAGCTGCAGCTGTTGCTATGCTTGTTGGGCCTGATGCTCCTATAGTATTTGAAAGCAAGATCAGGGCTAGCCATATGTCCCATGTCTATGATTTTTACAAGCCCATCCTTGACAGTGAATATCCAGTAATTTCCTTTAGTCCCTGCTTGTCTTGTTGATCTTCATATTTCACATGAATGTTTCAAAATGCTATTTTGTCAAAGCTTTGGGTTAAATATTTTGATTTTTTGAGAGTAGTGGGTGTTGAGAGTGGTATTTTACAGAACTGATAGAATCTTTTGCAAGCTGCCACTTGCTGCTGATAGCAGTGTATTGCACGGAAATCTGTAGAATTTCAGTATCTCTTATTAGTTCCTTATTACCAATATTCTTGACGCCTGCTGCATCATCACTGTTGAAGCTAATTTTCCATCTGTGCTCTGTTTTATGATGTTAATTGTTTTTGCAGGTGGTTGATGGTAAGCTTTCACAAACCTGTTATCTCATGGCACTTGATGCCTGCTACAAGAGTTTATGCAACAAGTAAGTTTCCGGTTGATGCAACCTTATATTTGGAAATAAGTTTCTTAACTGTCTTCATTTAGTGACCTTTTACTTCCATCTTTTAGATATGAGAAATTGGAAGGCAAGCAATTTTCAATGGCGGATGCCGCCTACTTTGTGTTCCATTCACCATACAACAAGGTAGCTTATGAGAATCCCATACATATTATAATTTCCTTTTTCTATTTCTCCTAATAAAGGGATATAAACAGTTATCTGAATCTTTTTTTTAATCATGCAGCTCGTGCAGAAGAGCTTTAGTCGATTGCTGTTCAATGATTTTCTAAGGAATGCTAGGTGTGTTACTAATTTTCTCTTCGAAAGAAGTCTTTTCTTGTTTAAAGTAATTCTTTGGACTGATCATCCTCATTTCTGCATTTGCAGCTCTATTGATGAGTCTGCCAAAAAAATCCTGGCCCCCTTCGAATCCTTAACCGGTGATGAAAGCTACCAGAGCCGTGATCTTGAGAAGGTTCACCTTCTTCCTGAAATGTTTTTCTTTTTCACTAGCAACTTCCTGCAATTCTTTTTCAATACATTGCTGGAAGCGATGAAAATGAAATCTTAATGTCTCCTAAGACTGAACTGAAAATGGATTTTTTTTTTCATGCACTTACAGGCATCCCAACAACTTGCTAAACCACTTTATGATGAGAAGGTGCAACCTACCACATTGATACCAAAACAAGTTGGCAACATGTACACCGCATCTCTTTATGCTGCTTTTGCATCCCTCCTTCACAATAAGCACAACACATTGGTAAATACAAGTTACTTTTTTTTAAAAAAAATTGTTCCTTCCTGCTCAGCACATTGGTAAATTTTGTTCTTCTGTTCCTTACTGCTTGTTTCACCACCATTGCCTAAATAATTCTCCCGGCTTCTGAATCATTTTGTCACCTCAGGCTGGTCAGCGGGTAATCATGTTTTCCTATGGGAGTGGATTGACTGCGACTATGTTTTCGCTAAAGTTTAACGAAGGTCAACATCCTTTTAGTTTGTCAAACATTGCAAGCGTGATGAATGTCGCAGAGAAGTTGGAATCGAGACATGAGGTATGCTAAATTCTGATCTCACGATCACTTGTAGATTTAGACTCCATCACTGACTTCATTTAAGCTATAAGATATCCAAATAGCTGTCAGTGATTTTATTGAACTATCCCTCTTTTTTCATCATAACCCTGACTGATGTCAATAACATTTTGTGCAGTTCACTCCTGAAAAATTCATCGAAATATTGAAACTAATGGAGCACAGATATGGTGCCAAGGACTTCGTGACCAGCAAGGATTGCAGCCTTCTCGAACCAGGAACCTACTACCTAACAGAGGTTGATTCCAAGTACAGAAGATTTTATGCAAAGAAGGCTCACGAGAATGGGCAGGTCAACGGACACTAGGACACCAAACATGGTCCTTGCACGGTGTAAGGCCATATAGTAGGCTCGTGTTGTTTAAGTTATTGTTAGCGCATAGAAGAATAACTAGTGCTCTGGCAGATTCGATTGTTATTACATGTAGTTTCTTTTCCAGAGTAGTAGATCCTATGCCTTTTTTCTTTCTTTTTTCAGTTCCTGACGAGTTCTAATGTTGTGTATCTCCTGTCTTCACCTGTTTGTGAAATGATTGTAAAAGTCATCAACCTAGTCTTTGGTTGGAATTCATTTCTCATCTGTAATAAACTAATGTATTTATGAGAAAGATCATTTCAATGGGTGATTGTTGAAATTTGTGAAATTTATAAAACTTGTGAAAATCTGTTTACGGTAAACAGATTTTCACATAACTTATGCATGTATTAACCAAATGTTACATTTGTTATGCATTTTATATTGAATTATTTGTTCGTACTACCATCAACCAACTAGGTTCAAGTGTTACGTATTTTTTTTTCCCATTGGATACTAGTATGTGATTTTCAGATAACGACCCTCGGATCAATTTTGACTTGCATATTTTCCTTCTTATTTTGATAGTAACGTTTTGAAGTTGACTAAAAGCTGGTGAAAAAAAAAGAAATAAAAGCAAATGAAAGAACTTCTTTTCATTTTCTTTAAATAAAATAACTTCAATTAACACAAGTTGGACCTTTAAAATACTCCAAATTGTGTACTTCAATAATCAATTTAAGAAGCTAAGGACTTATATATTCCCTTCTAATACATCCAATTTTGACGTTGAATATGAAGTACCTAAAAGGTGTAACAGTAACATTTCATAATACCAACATGATTTTCTTCAGAATGATTTTTTATATTACATTTTACTTTATAGCAATTTATTATTTTTGAAAAATTACTCCTCTATAACCTCATACTTAAATATTATATACATATTTAAATTAGTTTACAAATATATTCCTTCTTTGATGCCCAAAATTTTAAACTAATTCGAATAATGAAATCCCAAAATATGTACCAATATTAAACACAGGCGGGAAACCAACCATAACACCAGAAGTTTCTTTTTGTTAATCCTTTTCTCATGTGTATTTGGTAGCCCACTTGTTGTAGAGCGATTCTCCCATTTCCCTTCTCTTTCCCCCTGGTTCTGATTTAAATTATTGAAACTCAACTTTGGTCTCCTGATTTGAATTGTTATATTTAATCGAACGCAAATATGCATTCATCTTCTTTCTCCATCACAAATTTCCTCTCCTTTTCATATTCCTCGTCGTCGGAAAAGCAGTGCCGGAGAAGGAAATAAACGTCGGCGGTCCGGTGGTTGAAGTTTTATTATTTAAATCTGTTCAGTGTGTTTTTGCTCAAAAGTTATAGTTGCTACAATCGGAAAATGGCTTCTCAACCGAACAATGTTGGAATACTCGCAATGGAGATTCACTTTCCTCCTACTCGCCTTGTGCTGGTAAAGTTACTATACTAGTAACATTTTAAATTTATACTTCTTATTAATTCTTATTTAGCTGCTTAAGCTTGTTTGTTTGTTCGTTCCAATTGAGCACCTGAAATCATGATAAACTGTTGGGGAAGTGTTTGTGCGTGTTAGGTAATTAATCGCAGTTTTGAGTCGAATATGAAGGAGAGTAAATGCCTATAACTTAGGATAACCATTTTATTTAAGCTCTCATGGTGATCTTATGTTATGCACATGTATTGTTTGTATTTGTTCGCGAGCTACATAGTTTTGTGCTTTTAAAAGGACTCATTGCTTTTATAGTTTCATGGGAATAAGACTTTTATGAGTTAATTTAAGTAAAATTGCAATGTACAGGAAGAATTGGAGGCTCATGATGAAGTAAGCAAAGGCGCGTATACAACTGATCCTGGACAAGATTGCATGGGCTTTGTTATTGAGGATGAAGATGTTGTATCAATGAGGTATGCAGTTAACTTTAGTAGCTGCAACAAAAACTACTAGCTAGGGATCAGATATATGAATCTCTATAATCGTTCTGCTTCATTTGGATCCATTTTGTTTCATAAATTGTCATAAAGAAACTGCGGACTAACTTTATTAGCTAATACTTGCAAATACTACTATGTTTTCATCTCTTCTCATCAGAATTTTTCATCTTCAGCATGACGGCTGTTACTTATCTTCTGGAGAAGTATACTATTGATCCAAACCAAATTGGCCGGTTAGACGTTGGAACTGAAACTATTATCGATAAGAGTAAATCTATCAAGACATTCTTAATGAGAATATTTGAGGTAACACCCGTTCCATCAAGGCAATGTCCATTATGGTTTTTTCCAACATGTTGCCAACTGATTAAGACTTAATTGCTAAGCCTTTGTGTGACATACCTCTGATTCATCTTGTGAAACAAGCAGGAACATGGAAATACCGACATTGAAGGAGTTGACTCCCATAATTCTAGCTATGGGGGAACTGCTGCATTGTTCAACTGCGTTAATTGGGTGGAGAGCTCTTCATGGGATGGACGTTATGGGCTTGTAGTATGCACGGATAGTGCGGTATAATCATTAATCTTTCATGCAATCTACGACTTGAGTTTTGTCTATTGCTTTACTTATTAGATAGTACATATTATGAAATGCCTGAGCCTTAGCATTGTTTTTGTTCATTTACTCAACAACTTTTGTTCACAGGTCTATGCAAAGGGACCTGCTCGGGCTACTGGAGGAGCTGCAGCAATAGCTATGCTTGTAGGGCCTGATGCTCCTATAGTACTTGAAAGCAAGATCAGAGCTAGCCATATGTCGCACGTCTATGATATTTACAAGCCCATCCTTGACAGTGAAGATCCAGTAATTCCCTTTAATCCCTTCTTGTCTTGTTTATCAATAATGCTATTTTGCTCAAAAAAAAAATTGTATGAGTTTTTAAGGTAATGTGTATTGAGAGTGGTATTTTACGGAACTTGATAGAATTTTATTGCAAGCTACCCCTTGCTGATTCCTTATCCTTCATGTTTTCGTTCTCACAGAAATTGGTTAAACACAATATTTAATTTATATCTAGAAAACAACATGTTGCATGACAATTTTTAAAATTTCAGTATTATTGATATTTTGCTAGCGACTACATCCACTGTTGAAACTTCAGAATTTTCCTTGTGTGTTCTCTGTGTGATGTTATTTGTTGTTGCAGGTAGTGGACAGTGAGATTTCGCAAACCTGTTATCTTAGGGCACTTGATTCTTGCTACAAGGGTTTATGCAACAAGTAAGCTGCCAGATGATGCATCCTTATATTTCGAGTAAAATTGTTAACTGTCATTGTTTAGTGACCTTTTGTGTAATGTTTTTTCAGATATGAGAAAGTGGAAGGCGAGCAATTTTCAATTGATAATGCAGCCTACTTTGCATTCCATTCACCATACAACAAGGTAGGTTATAAATCTAATTTGTTTCCCTCTGTTTCTCTAAATTAGTTCATTTAAACACTTATCTGAATCCTTTTTAATTAATCTTGCAGCTTGTCCAGAAGAGTTTTGGTCGCTTGCTTTACAACGACTTTTTAAGGAATGCTAGGTGTGCTAAAAATCTTCTGTTAGACATGAATCTTTTCATTATTTAAACGAATGTTGTGGACTGATCATCTTCATTTCTGCATTTTCAGCTCTATTGACGAGTCTGCTAGACAAATCCTGGCCCCATTTGAATCCTTAACTGGTGATGAAAGCTACCAAAGCCGTGATCTTGATGAGGTTCACTAACAATTGCCTACTTTTTCTTCCTGAAAATATTCTTTATTTTTATGACTGACTTTCTCAAAGCTACCAAAGCCGTGATCTTGATGAGGTTCACTAACAATTGCCTACTTTTTCTTCCTGAAAATGTTCTTTATTTTACGACTGACTTTCTCTAATCGTCTTCCAATACTTTATTTTAATCATTCAACCTCACCACATTTGATATCAAAACAAGTTGTTAAGCCTTTGCCTGATTAATACAGGCATCCCAACAAGTTGCTAAACCATTATACGATGAGAAGGTGGAACCTACTACATTGATACCAAAACAAGTTGGCAACATGTACACCGCGTCTCTCTATGCTGCATTTGCATCCCTCCTTCACAATAAGCACGACACATTGGTAAACACAGCTTAAAACTTTTCGTCTTTTGTTTTTTTTTTCTTTCGTGTATGTTTCTGAATCAGTTCTTGCCTCTCAGGCCGGTCAGCGTGTAATCATGTTCTCCTATGGGGGTGGATCAACTGCAACAATGTTTTCACTAAAACTTAATGAAGGTCAACATCCTTTTAGTTTGTCAAACATTGCAACTGCGATGAATGTTGCAGAGAGGCTGCAAAAGAGATATGAGGTATGTGGAAATTTTCATGTTGGTGGATTTGTTTGCAGTAGCATTCAAATGTGTTTTTAGAATCCATCTTACTGGACCTTGTCATCGACTCAAATTACAACATTTTTTGCAGTACACTCCTCCCGAATTTGACATTTTCGTTGGACTTTACGAGGCCAGAAGAGAGTTTGGCATCAAAAACGACTACTGGTGTGAAATGCCTGGCAGCATTCTTCCACCAGGAGCCTACTACTTCAGAGGGGTTGATTCTGAGTACAGAAGAGCTTATGGTAAAAAAACTCCCGAGATTGAACAGGAGATAGAAGAAATAATCCTAGAATAACTAATGCAAGCATTACTAATATACTATATTCAACAGTATTCTTATGCACCCTACAAAACGACCCCTAAGAATTGTGCCTGCAGGATTTTGCTGCTGTATGCATTTGTTATTCACTTTTTTTCAGTTTGAGTTTCTTGTTTGTATTTACATTATCATGATAAAATTGGTTGTTGGGTTGCATCTGTTTTGCTACATTCTTTAAATAATTAATTTCATTAATGACAGAGCCAGATTTTCACGAAGAATTTTAAAATATGAAGAAGTAAAACATACAGAAGTTAAAGAGGGTTCAATATCTACTATATAAATATACATAAAAATAATTTAATCATATATGCCAAAGAGAGTTTGAATATATACCTCGCTCCTACCTATCTCCACCCTCGTGAATTATGAGGTAGATACAAATTGATATATGAACCAATTGTGAACCTAATAAAAAGTTGCAACATATCAAAAAAAAAAAAACATTAAAAATCTTTTAATAAAAACTAAATCAATCATATTTTTATGAACTAGTTTTACCGTCGTTTAAAATTTGACATCCCCACAATATCATAAAGTCAAGTACATGTTGGACCAAGGACATGAGCCATACACATGCTGGGACCACTTTCATGGGCCCAACAGAATTGCCCATACCCACATGGCCCACAGCATTGTACGTATATTATCTTGGCATGGGCCTATTTGTAGTGGTCCAACAATGACAAAATGGGCCTACCATCCAATTTGAGCCGTCGAGTGGCCCAATAGCCGTGTCTTAAGGCACAAAGTAGAGCCCATCTACCTTTTACAAGTGGACCACTTCACACCTTGAGGAGCCCACCACAATAGCTACCACCCACCACTTTATGGCCGAAGCGTAAATATACACGTTGAATAGCTGGTTAAAGTTATACATGTATTAGTAATAAGAAAATTTATGTATCTGAGTTTAGTTATTCAGATGGAGTATTATTTACGTATCGTAAGTTTGTATGTGGAATTCACACTATATTAATTTTACATATAAATAACTTATCTTCTAACTAACTATCAAAATATGGTATTACTTGAGCAGAATTTAATACCCGTATAACTCGTCTCTAAATCAGCTACCACATAACCCTCAAGTGTATAATTTTTTGCACATTTATCTATTTTGAAATAAATTTGTTTAAAGTTTTAATATTGATAAAGTCTGATTTCTAGAAAAATGTCTAAAGTCACTAAAGTTCGGATATTTCTACTTGAATTTCAATTATTTTTATCTAAAATCTAGTTATATTGTCTTATTTCAACTATTTTTGCTTGAAGTACATGTATTTATATTTAAAATTCAATCTTTATTTGAAAGCTATGCAAAAATGCATTTACTTCAAACGTTACGTATCTAAAGTTATTTTTAAAAATAAATAAATTTACAAAATTTCTTTAAAAATTAAATTGGGAAAATTATATGGTTAAGCAAATATATATAAGTTAATTAGTCATCATAACTATAGTTTTAGTTAATTACCACTCGCGATCAATATTTATTCATTGATATTATCGGTTGGGGTTTCGAGCTTGTATAATTCGCACGTTTGTATAATTCAGAATTTGTAGAAATGTTGTATAATATAATTTATATAACTATTTAAAGTTTAGATATTTGTATTTGTATAAATTCATTATTTTGAGTTTATATAAAAATAACTCAATGATATAAATATACTCGCAAATTATACAAACTTACTTATAAATTATACAAACCCACAAACTATACAAATGAGATAATTTAAACTAAAGTTACACCTCATAAATATATAAAATATATTATAATGACTATTTGCGAAAATTTCTCAATTAAATATCTTCAAAGTTTTTTTACCCACCTTAAGGTGATGGGCCATATAATTTGAGCGGTCTGATAGGTGAAATGGGCCTACAGTCCTTGAAGCACGCCCCTGGTCCCACTTTATCTCTGGACCCCAGGCCCCACCACCTCTCTTTAAGTTAACAAGACTTCCTTTCTTTTTCATTTCAATTTTTATGTTTAGACTTAAGATTATTTTTTTAAATAAAATACAGTTTAATAATCTTATTTTGTTACCTATATATAATAATAGAAATAGAGATAAAATACTATAAACCACTATATACTAAAAATATACTTCTATATATTACATATATTTAACTTATGAATCTAAATGGTTTTCTTTATTTGATGACAAGAAAAAAAAATTATTTGTTTCAAATCTGAATTTGTAATTTTTGAAGCATAATAAGTTGTTATAAATAATAGAGTTTTGAAAATCGAACTCAATGATTTTAAATTTTGGAAGTCTTTAATACAACTCCATTAACATAGCAAATGTTTATTTTCAAGTAATAGAAAACAAACGAAACTAACCAACAAAAAGCATTAACGTTGCAAAGACCAATGCCCCAATTACTGTACAATAGAGTTGTAATTCACTAGTTATTCTAGATGCTCGCCAAAGCTGAAAAAAAACCAAAGGTTATTTATATTCCTCGGAAACCCCTGCCTACGTCACCATTTAATATTTCTTGGCCTACTATTGGCCAAACCACCTGGGCACTAGGCCCAACGTGAGTTGGATCACTGGTGTTTACTTTTTTTTCATTAGTATATATAAGCATTTGATAATTACACTATATTATATCAACTTGGGGTGATTAGGTAAGAAATGTCCCACTTAGTTAAGAAAAAGTACAGCCTGTTGGCTGTTTCCCATCCACATTATACTTTTTAGCTGAATATTCTTCTCTAAAAGTTTTTATTCTATCATGGAATTGATCTGGAATCATCAAAAATTATAGTGCAATGAATAAAATCAGACGTCTTAAACTCAAATCCTGATAATGGAATCAATTTTAATAAGAACCGTTTTACCTCTCACAGCGAGACCTCTCGAACACAAATCTAGATTAGTCGGATATCGAATACCAGATGAAAAACCAATTTATTTTTGGATGGGGAAGCTTCTATTTTGACCCACTATACAAGGTGGGCCGTGGGCCACACCACCACCACCAATGGAAGTATACCACTCTACGCAAACCCAAAACTGATCCATCAAAAGCCCAAACGGGTCCCCACTCTTCTCAAAGTCCTAATCCACTTTTACACGTGCGATACTCACGTGCACGTCTTCAACACTTTTTAATTTTTTTTAACACTAATCACTTCACTTAAAACCTCTTTTCAGAAACTCATTTTATTATTTTTCTCATTTCCCAAAAACAGATCACGGTCAAAAGTTTCTCCAATAAGATTATTAAATTAAGAGTGTATGTGTTGGAGGATATGAATTTTACGTATAATCTAGGTAAATATTATGAGGGTAAAGAACATAGATAGTGTGGGAGAGTTGGATGAGCCTAGAGGAGCGAGACAATCAATATAGAATATCTATCAACTCTGATAAAATTTGTTTTTCCTACTTTCACCGTCCCACGGAAGATGGTAATATTTTGTGAAAATTGTTTTTTAAGTGTGGGTTCGAAATAAAAGACCAAATGTTGATGCCTAGTAAGTGCAAAAATGACACTTATGTGACATATAATGAAGTCATGCACTAAGTAGGTTAGGTTAATTGAAAGTCTTGAAAGATATGACAATTAAAATAATGCAAAATTCCAGTTATTTAATACATAGTTAACTAAATTATAATAAAGCTGAAGGATGATAATGTTTCCATTGACAATTATACAATGATTTATTTGAAATTTCCTAAGAGAGTTACACATCATTCAACTTCTAATTATCATTAGTTTAACAAAAGCAAAAGAAACAAAAAGTGAATAGCTAGTGTCTTCTAGTTTGTACATACAAGAGTATTTTGAGCATATTTGGCCTAAAGCCTGCCTCTATCTTTATATTGCTACTCATAAATTATGACGTAGGATCAATCACTTGAACCGATTTTAAGCCATAGACCTTGATCGTCCATTAACCGTCTTCTCTATGACCGCTTTGAAGATGTAACTTGAGGTTCTTGTTGATGATTTCCACTCCGACTCATAAACTGTAACTCTTTTCTATCATAAATCTCAAGTGAAAAATCTCTTAGCATATGAGGTTTAACATCATTTTTGTTGTTGTTATTTCTATTTGTGCTAGAGCTTATACTAGCTGGAGCCATGCTAGACTTGTTCGACCCAACTTTAGGCCCCGTAGATGTTGCTGCTCCATCATTTATAGTTAACGGTCCTGCCATTATTATTGGTGGCGGACTGCTAATATTATTCGTGGCTGCAGCAGCTGTTGGTGCAGCCACAAACGATGATATTGGCCTCGTGGCCAAATTAAATACAGGTGTCCATAATTGAGGATACTGTACCACGACGTTATTGTTATTGTTATTGGTCACGTTTACTGGTGGGACCGTTGCTGGTATCATCCAAATGGCATTGGATGGTACCATCATACCCCCATTACTCATAGTCCATATCGGTAGTAATCCCGGCGGCGGAGCGGCGGCAGCAGCAGGTATTGTTGCCGGCGTGGTTGTTACCGGAGCAAATTGTGAAACATTTGCTGCATTTGTATTCAAACTTCCAACATCAATGAACTCCGAGTTTGATGATTTCCTTCTACGTTTCTGTGGATTGTTCTCGTCGATTTCTCGATTACTCGCCGGAGAACTCGTCGGAATCTTAAGAGTACCGTTGACAGAAACTGCTATCGCCGGTACAGTTCCGGTTCCGGTGGCTTCAATTATAGATTGCTCCGCATGCTCAAGCAACCACCGAACAGTTTCTCCGTCGGACTTATGACCTAGTTCTCGGGTCAATTGGAAGATCCGAGCCGCACATGTAGCAGGTATTCGGATCCTCCGTCCACGTCCCTCTACTTTTGTGTGGCGGTCCTTGGTGGAGGACCTCCGCGGCGCGGCGGCGGTAGCCACCGGCATAGGCATTGACGGAACCAAAGTATGATGATCGGAATCAAACGGTTCTTCTTTCATAGCGGAAAACACCAGTTTTTTCTCATCGGCAACTCCATCACCGTCCATTTTCCGGTCATTTAGATCTCCGGCGACGTCGTTGCTGAGCTCGGAGGTGCCACAATCATCATCTGGGTCATGAAAACTGGACATTTTTTTAGAAAAAAAGAAGAACAAAAGGTGTGAGTAGTGGAAATGGAGGATGAATCAGACGGTTGAAGTTGAAGAGGTATATAAAGGAAGAGTGAGTGGGATGATGACACGTGTAGGGGTAAGAAAAGTATGACTTTTTCTGAGTGGACCATACTGCCACAAATGGTCCTACAATTGGTGTAAGAAAAATGGATCTAAAATGTGGCCCTCTCTCACTCCTTCACTACAATAAGGTCCCCACCATAATAAGGAGGGGCCTCTACTAAGGAGAGGGGTGGGGGCATGAATAGGTATAGTCTCTTTTTTTTTTTTCTTCGAGAACACTCTTAAATTTAGTGTGAATTATTAAATTATTCTCGAGCTATTAACAGTTTTAAAAATACTTTTTACTTGACTAATTAAATAAATTTAAATATACTCGATATTGTAACATGATTGAAATATACCTCTAAATTTTTATCAAGTTTAGGATTGTTTTCAACACTTATCTCGGCGTTTTATTAAGAACATCATGCTTCTATAAGAGTTTTAGACCACTTGGTATGTCATGTGGCAGATCAGAGATGTATCGATGGTGTATCTAAATTTAGTTAGTCAAGTAGATGAGTGTTTTAAGACCGTCAATAGCTTAAAAATGCAACTAATTATAATTTACGCTGAGTTCAGAGGTATTTTCTATACTTATTTCTTTTTGCTTCATTCGATGTTCAGACTCCATATTCGAGCTCGACTAAATTTGAATTCATCCAGAAAAATCTCAGATTGAGGAATAAAACGCTACCTAACAAAGGTGTTCTCGTACCCAAGGAGACTCGAACCTAAGGTATAATAATTTCAAGAAAAAATTATGATTATTATATCATGCACTTGATTAGGAAAATTATCTCACCATATGTATTACATAAGTTGTCTCATATATATGGTGGGATAACTAATTTTATGGAAAATTACAATATATGAGATAACTGTATCTATCTGATATCCTATACCAAACAATCCCTTAGGGGTAAAGACATTATCGACTAATGAGTTTTTTTATTTTATTTTGAATTTTAATGAATAATAAATAATTTGAGATAGATATATAATGAGAACAATAAATATTTTGGGACAGATGAAATAGTACGTAACAAAAATTATAATCACCTATGACTATGGTAAATTAGTGGCTCGCAAATTGCTTAGATTGAGTTTTTTTTTCTTCCATTACAATCTTCAATTCATATTATTTATATCTTTTAAAAAAATTCACAGTTTTTAAATAGATAGGAGTACTATTTAATAGTTTTACTTGTATGAATAGTTGTCTGAGTACATTTTATCTCTCTTAAATTCTCACTTATTGAATACTCTCCAAATGATCAATATGTTAACAAAAGCTTAATACATAGTTAATTTTTTAAACTTGTTATGATATTTTATTTAGACATTCAAATTATACATATTCTAATTGAATATCTCAACTTCTATGAGAGTATTCTAATGACACACTTTCGTCTATTAAATAGTTAAGTTAACCAAATAAAACATGTCATTTAGGTATCTAACATTGAACTGATTATAACATTTCTAAAAAAGACATTTTGTGATAGGAATACAAGATAGGGAAAAGAGTAGAAAATTCATGAACTCATTATGTCAATATATGTGTTTTACAACTCCTTTTGATACTCTCATAATGTCCATTTATGACCTCATTTATTGATTTTGGAAGTTTATGTAAGAGTTAGTGTTTCAATTAATTTTGAAACAAAATTCATCCGTTAAAAGTTTAGAAATAACAAAATAATGAATGTGAGTTGTAACATTCTTTTTTGTTTTAATTCTACGTTATAGGATTTTGAAAGAAGCTTTTTAATTCTACGTTATGGATTTTTTTAAAGATAAGTTTTATTTTCAATTCATGAACCTATAATAAATTCTATTTAATTAAAAGTCTTTTTCTTGTAAAACTTTTGTCCTATAAATTGAGTTTCTTTTGGTTGAAAAGATGAGCATTCAAACAAAACTACTTTCCCATGAAAAAACACTTGTAAGACATTAATCAAAAGGTGAAATCACCAATTCAAGAATAGAAGAGCAACATTCTTGAATGCTACTTGTTTTGTGACTTAGTTGAATTCCGAAGATAGAGTTGTTATTTATTCTTCCGATTGCTCGTGGGAGAGACTCCAACTATCTTCAAGAAACGTATTAACGTGTCTCTAAGCCAAGCAAGTTTTGTTTTGGATTCCTTGTATTTTTATTATTCTTGTTCATTTGTTCTAACAATTTGAAGATAGTTGTCTCTATGGCATCCACATCAATAACAAACAGTGTTCCAAATTTGCCTAATTCTAATTTTGAAATATTTGATGGCAAAGACTTTCCTAGATGGCGTGGAAAGATGAAATTCTTTTTAAGACGATTAAAATTGGCATATGTTCTTGAGAAACCTTGTCCCGAGGCTCATAGTTTCGAGGTAGCAACGGACGAGGCTACTTTAATTAAAGAACAAATTGCCAAATGGCAAGATGATGATTACTTATGTAAGAATTATATTCTTGGAGGAATGTCCAATAAATATTATGATCAATATTATATTAAGTGCAAATTTGCTAAGGAGATTTGTGATACTCTTAAAGCTATTCATTTAGCAGAAAAGGCAAGTTCAAAGAAATTTCTTGTTTCAAATTATAAGGAGTTCAAAATGGTTGATGACAAGTCAATCACTGAACAAGTATAAGAATTTCAGCTTATAGCTAATAAAATTGCTTTATCTGAAATTGCTCTTGATGAAAACTTTCATGTTGGTGCTATTGTTTCAAAACTTCCTCCATCTTGGAAAGAGTACAGAAGCAAACTTTTACACAAGAAGAAAGATTTGACTCTTGAACAATTATTGCAGCACTTGCAAATTGAACAAGAGACACGATATCGTGACAATAACATCTTGAAGGAACCCATCATGAAAGCTCATGTTATTGATGAAAAAGCGATTAAGAAGGAATAATAAATTTTTAGGCAAATAAGAGTAAAAATTTCAAGCGTACTAATTCTAATTCAAAATCGAATGAATGTTATCATTGTCATAATATTGGTCACTATGCACGTGATTGTAAAATTCTTAATGCTGAAAAGAAGAAAGAAAAGGCAAATAACAATAAAAAAAATTGAACTGGTGGCAATGGTCACAGAAGCATTAGTAGCGGGAGATCAAGTGGAACGGTGGATAAACACTGGTGCAACTTGTCATATATCAGGTAATCGAAATTCTTTCACGACCTATGAATTAGTGCTGGGCAATAAAGTTTTGCATATGAGAAACTTATCCTCTGCTAAGGTTGTGGGAAAAGGAACTGTTGAACTGAAATTCACTTCCGGAAAGATGATCACATTGATAGACGTATTGCATGTTCCTGATATTCGAAAGAACTTGGTGTCATGTACACTTCTTTCGAAGCATGATTTTAAAATAATTTTTGAGGCAGATAAATTTATTTTGTCTAAACAAGGCATGTTTGTTGGAAAAAGAGTATGCTACAAATGCAATGTTTAAACTCAATATTGAAAATGAAAATATTTCTACTTATGTTGTGGAGTCTCTAGATTTATGGCATGAACGTCTTGGTCATATGAATTTTAGATCCATTCAACTTATGGTGAAAAATGGATTAATTAAAGACTGTGGAAATGATCATGTTGATAAGTGTATTATTTGTAGTAAATGTAAAATAACAAAGAAACCTTTTAAGTATGTATCCACACTTTTCGAGTTAATCCACACTGATATTTGTGAGATGAATTGTTTATCATGTCATGGAAAGAGATATTTTATCACTTTCATTGATGATTACTCAAGGTATACATGTCTTTCCATTAAAAAGAAAAGATGAGGCATTCGAGACTTTCAAAACGTATAAAGCAAAAGTTGAAAATAAATTGAGTTTGAAGATTAAATCAATTAGATCTGACAGAGGTGGAGAATATTTAAAATCAGATTTTAGTTTTTTTTTGTGTGAAAAAGAATGCATTCAGAAGCAATTGACTATGTCTTATACACCACAACAAAATGGTGTAGCACAAAGAAAAAAAAATAGAACTTTCATTGAAATGGTTAACTCTATGCTTAATGGATCTGGTATCACTAAAAATTTGTGGACTGAAGCTTTATTTTCTACGTGTCATATTTTGAATCGAATTCCTTCCAAGAAACATGATTCATCTTCGTATGAACTTTGGAAGAATCGAAAGTCAAATATAAATTATTTTAAAGTATGGAGTTGTTTGGCTCATGTTAAATTACCAAATCAACATTTAACTAAGATTGGCTATAAATGAGTAGATTGTGTATTTATTGGTTATTCACAAACCAGTAAGGCTTATAGATTTTTGAATCTTGAGACCCTAAGCCCTCACACAATTATTGAATCGTTGCATGCTAACATTTTTTAGCATATATTTCCTAAGAAAAAAGAATTTTTGAAACAAGATACAAGTTCTTCTATATTTCCTCTTAAAAGAAAAATAGTTGAGCTTTTGGAAGAAAGTCAACCAAGACGTAGTTCAAGATCAACCAAACCAAGAGACTTTGGACCTAATTTTCAACTATATTTAGTTGAAAAGGATATTGAAAGTTATACTAAAGCAATGTCTTCACATGATACTTCTTTCTGGCGTGAAGCTATTGATGATGAAATGCACTCTATTATGTCAAATAATACATGAATTTTATCAGGCCTCCCTCTTGGATGTAAGTCTATTGGTTATAGATGGATCTTTAAAAAGAAATTAAAATATGATGGTATCTTAGATAAGTACAAAGCTTGCTTGGTAGCAAAATGTTTTACTCAATTCATGTATTTTGATACCTTTGCACATGTAGCCTGAATGACTTCTACTCGACTCTTGATTTAGCCGCAATTCATAGTCTGATAATACATCAGATGGATGTGAAGACTGCATTTCTGAATGGAGATCTAGATGAAGAGGTTTACATGAAACAACCAGAAAGATATGTCGTTCCTGGTTAAGAACACAAAGTTTGTAGGCTTCTTATATCTCTTTATGGATTAAAACAAGCTCCAAAACAATGGAATGAGGAATTTAGAAGAGTAATGATTTCTAATGGCTATTCAATCAGTGGTGGTGATATATGCATATTTAGCAAATTTCAAGAAAAATCTAGTGTTATAATATGTCTTTATGTAGATGATATGTTGATCTTTGGAGCTGATATTGAAAGAATCAAAGAAACAAAATCGTTTTTAGCTTTTCAATTTGAAATGAAAGATCTTGGAGAAGCTGATGTAATTTTGGGCATTGAAATCATGAGATCATCGAATGGCTTGACTCTTACTCAATCAAGTTATATTAAGAAAGTTCTAAAGAGAATTGGTCACTTTGACGAGAAACCTGCTCCTATACCATTTGATCCTAGCATCAAACTAATGCGGAACTCTAGTGATGTTCTTGATCAACTAACATATTCCCAGATTGTTGGGAGTCTTATGTATGTCATGCATATTACCAGACCGGATATTGATTACGCAGTAGGAACTTTGAGCAAGTTTACTAGTAATTCTGGAATTGAACATTAGAATGCCTTAATTCGTGTTTTAAGATACCTGAAGGGTACAATTAATGTTGGCCTACATTATTCTACATTTCTAGTTGTTCTTGAAGGTTATAACGATGCTACTTGAAATCCTGATCCGAATGACTTTAAATCTATTACTGCTTGGATTTTCACTTTGGCTGGAGCATTGATCTCTTGGAAATCAAAGAAGCAGACATGTAAAACTCACTCAACCATGGAGTCAGAATTTATAGCTATGTCTTCTGCTGGAGAAGAAGCTGATTGGCTGCGATCTATGTTGATAGATATTCCTCTGTGGAGTAAGCCAGTACTACCTTTAACTATTTATTGTGATAATCAAGCTGCTATATTTCGGGCTTTAAGTGATTGCTACAATGGCAAGTCGAGACAAGTTCGTCTCAAACATAATCATGTGAGAAGATTATTGGAGGAAGACGTGATATCTCTTCAATATGTGAAATCCAGGTTTAATTTAGCGGATCCTTTGTTTAAAGGGTTAGGCAAAGTGTTAGTGGTGGAAACTTGTAATGGGATGGGAATAAAGCATGTTGTAAATTAATTGTACTTTATGGTAACCCTACCTAATGATGTAATCTTGTGTTCAAAGGAAAAACAAGTAAAGTTACAATTGTGAAGCACATCAATAAAATTCTCATTTTCCAAAATAAAATGAAATAAGCAGATGTACATGATTGAGATTTTTTTCTCTAAATAAATTTATAAGACCGATCTCGGTTGGAGTTAGTAAGAAAACTCTTGATAATTTTTTTCGATATTCCTACTGAAGAGAAGGATGAGATTATATTATCTTAATAAACCTATGAATCGATTTCGATTGGAGTGTGTGGGAATACCCTTGATAGATTTACCGATACTTTATTGTAAAGGAGGATGAGATTAATTTCTCTTAATGAAGTTCATAGACTATTTGGTCGGAGTATACAAAGTTACTCTTGATGAATTCACCGCACTAAGTGCGAAGTGGAGGCCGCTTCAATAAGATTTTAACAGGAAAATCTTAAAGCACTTGGTTAAAAGGATTCAGGACACATGGCCGTAAGGTGTCAAAGGATTTTGATTTTCACCGGAACATAGTGATATGCGTGGAGTATTTTCCTATTTCATTCAATGAACCACTTAGTTCAAGATTTGTTCACTAAGTAGTCAATGATTTAGAAAGTCTTCACTAGCTAATGGTTCAAGTCCAAAAGACACCATTATTGATGCATGTTGCTAGATTAATGTCTCAAAATATTTTTTGGATTTTTTTCAAAGATAAAAAATAATAATCTTGAAACAAGTGGGGGATTGTAAGAGTTAGTGTTTCAATTAATTTTGAAACAAAATTCATCCGTTAAAAGTTTTGAAATAACAAAATAATGAATGTGAGTTGTAACATTCTTTTTTGTTTTAATTCTACGTTATAGGATTTTGAAAGAGGCTTTTTGATTCTACGTTATGAATTTTTTTAAAGATAAGTTTTATTTTCAATTCATGAACCTATAATAAATTCTATTTAATTAGAAGTCTTTTTCTTGTAAAACTTTTGTCCTATAAATTGAGTTTCTTTTGGTTGAAAAGATAAGCATTCAAACAAAACTACTTTCCCTTGAAAAAACACTGTGAGACATTAATCAAAAGGTGAAATCACCAATTCAAGAATAAAAGAGCAACATTCTTGAATGCTACTTGTTTTGTGGCTTAGTTGAATCCCGAAGATAGAGTTGTTATTTATTCTTCCGATTGCTCGTTGGAGAGACTCCAACTATCTTCAAGAAACGTATTAATGTGCCTATAAGCCAAACAAGTTTTGTTTTGAATTCCTTGTATTTTTATCATTCTTGTTCATTTGTTCTAACGGTTTAATCACCTCATTTTTCAAACAAGTTCTCACTCTGTTTGTCTTTCATGAACAAAGTTATCTGATATTTGTTGTTGATAGAAGGTGATAAACATCTTGAGAATTAGCCATGGTACACAAAAATTGATCCAAACATCACGATTCACGTTCATATAAAAAAAAGAACCATGACCTCGAGAGTCTAGTCATAGAAGTACCACTAGATAGAGAGTGAGTTACTACTTCATTGGATGTTTGGGGGGAGGAAATTCATCTTCAAATTTTCCCTTCCTTTTAATGTTTTTTTTTATTTTAACTTTCCTTGTTTATTTTATCGATCACAATGATGTGAATCGAATTCGTTGTATTTAGTATACAACATCATACAAGATGATGTGTTGAAAAGTTTATAGACATATATATTTTGAAATAATTTAACTTTAGACTATTTATTTTTTATCCTTAATTAATAACAAGCATTCATAGCCATAAAAATATTATCTATGACATGTTCAAGATATGTAATAAGTTTCAAAACATTTTTTCGTCTAAACTTTATAACTAGTCAAGCACC